TGGAATTTTAGGAGTTGATTCCCAATTTTTCACCCTCTTCCCGAAGATCCAAGGTTTCCACCAATTCCTGGATGGGGATGCAGCGCTCGTGGCCGCGGCAGATCCGGGGATTTTTTGGGAATTCCGGGGTTTCCTGTGGGGAAAAAAAATCTTCAGAATTCCAACATTTCCTTCATTTGAAATTCCCACTTTTTTTGTTGTGTTTAATGGGATTCAAACCTTGGAGTTTTCCTGGTTTTTTCCATGGATTTCCAGGCATTTACAAGGAGCAAAAACCCTTTGGATCAAGATCTTGACAGCCAAAAAATCCACGGAATTCTCATGGATGTGGCGGCGTAATTCCAGAAGATCCTGGCCCTGGGGGGGGGGAAAAGAGGAAATTAATGGAATAATCAACATTTTGGGAATTTCTTCCCCAAAATTTGGACCAAATCCCTCAAAATTCTCCCCAAACCAAATTTCCTCCCAATTTTTCCAGAATTTTCAAATTTTTTTTCCTGAATTCCCCAAATTTCCTTGAAATCCCCTCATTTTTCCCAAGTTTTCACACTTATTCCCCAATTTTTTCCCCCAAATGTTTCCTAGAACCCCCAAATTTTTCCAGAATTCCCATATTTCCCTCTCAATTCCCCAAATTTCCTTGAAATTCCCTCATTTCCCTGGACTTTTCCAGAATTCCCCAATTTCTCTGCAAATTTCTATTTTTCCCATTTATGCCTCAAACTCCCCAGTTCTTCTTGAAATCTCAGTTCTCCCAATTTCCAAGAATTCCCCAATCTTTTCCATAATTTTTTCCTAGAATTCCCCAATTTTGTCCAAATTTTCCCAAATTTCCTTCCCCAAATTCTCCCAGAATTTCCTAATTTTTTCCTTAAATTTTCCATAATTCCCCAGTTTTTCCCAAAATCTCCCAGAATTCCTCTATTTCCCCCTTAAATTTTCCCAGAATTCCCCAATTTTCTGCCCAAAATTTCCCTATTTTTTCCTCAAATTTTCCCAGAATTCCCCAATTTTTACCCAAATAATTTCCAAAAAAATTCCCAAATTTCCCCCCCAAATTTCCCCAAAAATTCCCGAATTTTTTCTTAAATTTTCCCAGAATTCCCCAATTTTTTCCTGAAATTTTCTCAAAATTCCCCATTTTTTCCCAGAATCCCCCATGTTTTTCCCAGAATCCTCCATTTCCCCCAGAATCCCCCATTTTTCCCAGAATTCCCCAATTTTCTCCCCCAAATTTCCCTATTTTTTCCTCAAATTTTTCCAGGATTCCCCAATTTTTACTCCAAATAATTTCCCCAAAAATTCCCCAATTTTCCCCCCAAATTTTGCCAAAAATTCCCCAATTTTCCCCCAAATTTCCCCAAAAATTCCTGCATTTTTTTCCTCAAATTTTCCCAGAATCCCCCATTTTCTCCCAGAATCCTCCATTTTTTCCCAGAATACCTCATTTTTTCCCAGAATTCCCCATTTTCCCCAGAATTCCCCAATTTTCTCCCCAAAATTTCCCTATTTTTTCCTCAAATTTTCCCAGAATTCCCCAATTTTTACCCCAAATAATTTCCCAAAAAATTCCCAAATTTTCCCCCCAAATTTCCCAAAAATTCCCAAATTTTTTCTTAAATTTTCCCAGAATTCCCCAATTTTTTCCTCAAATTCTCTCAAAATTCCCCATTTTTTTCCCAGAATCCTCCATTTCCCCCCAGAATCCCTCATTTTTTCCCAGAATCCCCCATTTTTCCCAGAATTCCCTAATTTTCTCCCCAAAATTTCCCTAATTTTTCCTCAAATTTTCCCAGAATTCCCCAATTTTTTCCTGAAATTTTCTCAAAATCCCCCATTTTTTGCCCAGAATCCCCCATTTTCTCCCAGAATTCTCCATTTCCCCCCAGAATTCCATAATTTTTTCCCAGAATTCCCCATTTTCCCCAGAATTCCCCAATTTTCTCCCCAAAATTTCCCTAATTTTTCCTCAAATTTTCCCAGAATTCCTCAATTTTTTCCTCAAATTTTCTCAAAATTCCCCATTTTTTT